ACCTGCCATCCACCCACCCACCCCCATCCATTTCCATTCCATCCATCTAATCATCCATCCACCAATCCATCCATCTACCCATCCATCCATCCCACCCACCCATCCATCCACCCATCCAATCATCCATCCATCCAATCATCCATCTATCCATCCACCCACCCATCCATCCATCCGCCATCCATCCATCCACCATCCATCCATCCATCCATCCACCCACCCATCCATTCCGACCTACCTCATCCATCCATTTCCCATCCGAGTCCAATCATCATCCCATCCATCCACATCGGCTCCAGGTGAGAGTGTGTAAAGATGAGAGCCTGAGCGGGACGCACTTGGCAGGGACCGCCTGGCATCCAGGTGTGTGGCCAGGCTAGACACGGCGGTGGGCAGGTGAGGGCGGGGAGACCTCCGTGCTGGTCCTGGTGGCCTGGCCGAGAGTCCCGCCAGGCCCCGTCCTCTCCAGGGAAGCGCAGGGCAGCTGCAGTCCCAGCCTTCTCCCTCCAGGAGTCACCCTGTCATTGTCCCCCCAGGACCCTGGCCTGGCAAAGGGGAGGTGTCAGCCAGACCCCGTTTATCGGCCCGTTGTTAATTCATTTCCTCCTTTCTTGGTAATCAAATCACTGCCCACCAGCCAGAGCCCCGGGCGGGGCGAACAGCGGGGGGGCAGGCACCCAGTGGGCAGAATTGCCGCCAAAGCCAGGCAGCGTCAGCTAGAGCTGGGCAGGGCCTCAGGTGGCAGCTGCAGGGCTGGGTGTGTCCCCGGGGTAGTCACAACAGCTCCAGGCCCTGTTTCTCTCCTCAGGGTGGTAGCTGCCCTGATAGCACGTATGCACACACATGGCCTGTGTGTGTTTGCACGGGCTCACGTGTGATGTACGTGCACACACAGCATGGGTGTGTGGTGTTATGCAGTGTAGCGTACATGCACACGTGAGGTGTGTGAGACTTGTGTCCACGTGGTGCATGTGTTCCTGCATGTGTGTGTGTGCGTGCCGTGCGTGTGGACGTGGGTGTGCACTGGGGGAGGGGCACCGGGAACTTGGACTGACAGCGACTTTCCCGGGATGATTAATGGGCTTGGGAGGAGGCGCCGGCCCATCCGGGCTCCTGGCAGGTTCTGAGCCTGGCGCCCGCCTGCCCGCTGGCTGG